ACGATTATATAAAAAACAAGTATTGTATGGAAACCGATGTATGTATGTATGGTGTTACAAACTGTTACATGTATGCTATGTATGGTAATGATTTCGTACATGTATATTTATCTCGAACCAGAAAATAAAGTATGACCGTATGATTGTATAAACAACATTTTTTTCACATGATTGTGACTTGGCTCTTTTTTTTCTCAAATTTTTTGAAACGAAACTATGTTTATTTTTTTATTTTTTTAACAGATTTCTGGTAAGTGGTAAGAGTTTTATTTAAATTTACTTTTAAAAACGATATTAACCCTTTTTTTTTATTTCTTCTTAATAAATGTGTAGTTGTAATGACTCGATGTTAATGACATTTTGAAAAGACTAGCACCTTATTTTTTTAGGGTTCAGAGTTTCCTTTGGAACGGAACTATTAAGGTAAGCATCTTTGTGTTGGTATAAAGTGGTTAACGGCATTATGAAAAAACATTAATGCCTTTTTTCCTGTTTTTCCGATTTTAAGTCATTTGTTGGGATTTTGAAACAAATGTTTTAAAGAATTTTCGGGTAACTTTTAGTGTAAGAAGTTGTTTTTTCTTCCAGCAACATTATGGATTTTTAAGGAATTGCATGTATTCCTCTTTAATGGTAATTGAAGAGAAAAGATTCTTTTTATAAGAGATTTCAAGGCACATGTAGAAGTTATCATTTCTTTTAGTGATGTCATTAATATTATTAATATTTCATTTACCTTTATTGTATTAGATTGTTGGCGTATTAAATAAAATTTTTTTTTCGATATATTCTTGTATATATATAGTAATATATTAAATTTAGTTACATTAATTGATAAGACGTCATTGATGTGTTACGAGATCAGATTTTATTGTATCGATCTAATATAAATAAATGAATTTCCAATATTTTTGACATTTTTCGCACTTAATTTGATCTGGGAAAAAGGTTAGTAAATAATTTACTTACGGAAAATGTCTGTTTCAGGAAAAAATATTTTTGGGGGTGTGAAAGTATTTGTTTGCTGATTTATTAACTATCTAATCAAATAGTAATTTATGTAGATAATTGAAAAATTTCCCGCAAGTTAACAATTTAAATGAAAATTTCCTGCAAATGGGTGGTCCAATCTGTTAGGGATGGGAGTTAATTGAATCTTCAGAATCTCAAATAGTAATTAGGCACTTTGATGGTATATTTTTTTAATTGAGAATTTTTTTATTTAACTATAATTGGGTTTTTTTCACGTTAAAACGATTAATAAAACTAATTTTTATTCCTTTTTTATCTTTTTAAACCATGATTTAGCTTTTTAAGTTAAATTCATAGAACTAGTACATACAACATGTAACATTCATTTTTTTAAAAAATTTTGTAACGCGTTTTTTTCAGAATACACTTTTTAAAACATAATCAATCTTCGATTAATCGCAAGCTTCATAATGTCTTCGATTATTGAACTTTCGGATATAGATGATTATAATGAGAAAGACTTAATTAAAATGGTAAGTAAATGTTATTCAAATTATATTATTTTATTAAAGAGAAAATTATTAAAAGTTAATAAACAAAAATAGAGAGAGAATAATAGTGATAGCGAAAATGAATTAGAAAGCGAAGAAACATTAGCTTTCTTTACTTCTCAACTGCGAGTTCCCAAAGTTATATATACAACTGTTCCTATAGAATATCCAGATACATCTTCAGAAGGAGTTGCAACCGTTTACAATGTAACTGGATGGAAAAATCATACAGACGCGTTTTCAGATGTAAGTATATATTATTTACCTTTAATTTAACAACAAGCTATAGATCTTTAACTATAAATACTTTTTATTACAATGTAGATTCAATATTCAACAAATGGTTCAGGCGGTACCACAAATATTCAAGAATGCCCTTTTTTTGGAGGAATACCCGTTAAAAAAAATCAAAGAAAATGCCAAGGAATAAAGTTTTGTCAGTTCACTGATCCTGAACTTGTTAATCAAGAACACTGTAGTGTTGATTTTGATTCTGAAATTTTTCAACATTATACACAACAAAATAATAATAATACTAAAGAAGCTAAGACATATACGTAAGTTTACTAATTATTGTTAATTTCAAATGTATAAAACTTATTTTAATTACTAATCCAAATTTTTACTAGTTTATTTTTGGCAGCAAAAGATACTCCTTGTAATTTCAAAAAAGACAATATCCCATGCAATGGAGGACCTCATATTGGAAGAATAACTAATTATCAAACAAATATTGTATCATATTTTATCGGTTGCAACAAATACAAACAAGGTGATAAGTGGCATCGATATATCAAAATAAAACAAGATGAAGTTGATATTTCATTACTTCAAAGTCTATTCACAGGTTCTGCATCTGTAAGTATTATTTATTTCTCATTATTATTTTTTTTGTCAAATTGGAAATTATAAGCAATTGCAGATAGCCATTTATTTTATATCTTTCTATTTTTAAAATTTAAAAATTATTCAATTATTTAGGTATAAGATACAGTAAAGTGTAGTATGATACTTTCTAAAAGTTGTAAACGTAAAAAATGTGGTAATTATTTAAATTTAATTATACTATTAAATTTATTTTAAATCATAACTAAATCTCTTTTATTTTAAGATATGCCACATACACATAATGGAACTATTGTCCGTGGAGAAATAATTGACTAACCTTGTCAAGTGCGCTTTATCAAATTTATTCCTTATGATATTGTCAAATGTCCTTTTGTAGCACTTGTATGTGTAGGAACACATAATCATCCACCCCCAGCACCTGAGAGGATTCCTTCTGGAATTAAGAATAACTTAGAATCTTTAATTACCCAAGCTATTCAACAAGATGATAATGTTACTTCAAGATCAATATTGTCAGGTATAAAATATTAATAAGATTATTATTTATTATTATCAATTAATAATTAATTTAGTTTTTATATATTAAACTAATAGGAAATCTACTCAGTGCTTATTTTAATAAAGAAACATTGGCAGAAGTTCATGTCTCTCTCAATAATATAGACAAATTACGATACTTAGTAGGAAAAGCATACAAGACCTTGCATCCTTTTTGACAAGGAGTTATAGGAATTTATCATTATATATTAAATCCCAAATCAGATTTAATAAATTATGTTCGCAAAATTGGTAAATTTTTTAAAATTTTATTATGCATTTTATTTAAATTACTCATTAATAATAACTATTATTTTTAGATCTTTATTCAAATAATGGCCAAGTAATTATTACTTGTATGCTTGATAATCAAGCTAAAAAATTAATTACACTTGATTATTTTCAAATTGATGTCAGCTTTAAACGAGTAAAAGGAGAGATAAATGAATTTGAAATTAACATGTATGATTCCAAACATCACCTGAGTAAGTGAAATTTTTATTTAAATTAATCCCATCATGTATTATAAATGATATACATTAATGATGTTACTAACCATAGTTTTTTTTTTAAGTATTGTCATTTTGTCGTATATTTACTAATGTTTTTACTGCTGAAGGGTATCATAGGTTATTCTCATCTTTATTCCAAATAATTCGTGAAGTAAGTGGTCAATCTATTCAATTTCTACATATTCATGGAAGTGGTATTGGATGTATTCTGGCTGATCTGGACGCTGCACAGGCTAAGGGGTTAGGATTAGCATTACATGATTTGGATCACGAAAAAAGTTGGGAAACACACTTGACATTTATTTTGAAAACATGCCTTGTACACTTTGAAAGGTATTTATAAATTTATTGAATAGTTATCTCTTTTACTTTTAATTTAATTAATTTATTTTTTTTTTTAGAAATTTATTTCATAAAACATTTACTATAAGCACGAAAAATTTAATACGACAAATTCCTAATGCAACTAGTAAAGAACAAGTTCATGATCTTCTGCAACAAATAGAAGATACAAATGATGAAGGAATAAAAGGTATATTATTTATTTATTTTAGAAGTTTAAAAGAATTAATATAAATTTTTAAAAATGTTTTTTCTTATAGAATGGTTGAATTATTATCGACAATCATATGTTTTATCTTC